TCCTTTAAACCCTTCCGGTGGTCTGAGGAGCCGACCGAGATGCTTAGCAGGGCCTCGGCTTTCAACCGGGACTCCGTCTGATGTATGCAGGCAATGTCTTGGAAAGCCAGCTTCCGTGACCTCAGGGCGGTCCGAGAAAGAAAAAAAGGACCCGACCAAAGTATCCTAGATAGTAGGGTTTAGGGTTTAGGGTTTAGGGGATCCCTGTGAGAAGGACCCGAAAATAAGGTACCCTAAATTTCGGAAACTCCCACCTCTAGAGCAGTAAAGCCCTGTAGTAGGCAAGTAGTCCAGCAGGGGTGCACCAAATATATCCACTGTTTTCGCCAGCCCAAACCGGCAAAAGCCCAGTGAGGCTCAAGAAGAATGCTAGAATGGTAGACAGCGTGCCAACAAGGGAGGCCGGCAAGCCGTTGTTGAGGAACAGCATGTGGAAGATGATGAAGTACCTGGAGGGTTGAAGGGAAGGCTTTGTGCTTTGAGTTTCAGGTCGCGGCTGGGGGCACACTCCAAGCGAAGCCCGAAGGCGAACACGAGGAAGACGAAGACGAAGACATACCTGACGGGGTTCACGGGCAGGCTGAAGGTTTAGGGCTTGGCGGGGGGCGCGCACCAAGGAAAGCACGTGCACACTCCCCCCTTTCCGCTCCCGGCCGAAAAGGCCAGCAAGGCACGGCGAGGCGCAGCATGTAGAAGTGGCATATTATGCAGCGAGGGGCCATAGTATTGTCATTAGTACAAGAGGAGTCGTTTTTCAGTACGTTGGCAGGATTCAGGGTGCATGGTTTCCGTAGAAGTCTGCTCAGTTGGGTCCTTGATCTCCGAAAACATCAGTCAGTTGTCCCTTAGTCTAGTTTCCTTAGTATGGTCTAAGACATAGTCCTATATTCCTTCCTAAAAGTATGTAGGGAATCTGCCCAGGAGCAAGACCAAAATAAGGACACGAGCTGAAGGGACAACTGATTGATGTAGGCTGTCGTTTTTTCTGTTCCGCCGTGCACGTCCCCTGTGTCACGTGTCGGCCTCGTCGTCCTCCTCACACTCACTTGCCTCCTCTTGCTTGGCCCGTTTTTTGGGTCTGGAGCTGGTGGCCGCCAAGGTCTCCGCGAACTGGCGCACGGAGACGTTGCAGAGATCCACCAAGAAGTTGTGGAAAGCCACACGCGGCGCTTCGTCTGGGGGAATGGAGCTGAACTCGACAACGGGGTTTGCGTCGGCGGTGATCTTGCCGATGGGGTGCTCCGCCAGGCCGGCCCGCATCACTTGAATCCATGTCTCCTTCGGCACAGAAAGTTTCTTCTTGCCGTCCGCTGTCTTCTCGTTCTTGCGGAGAGAGAGATCTTTGTAGGTCACCTGTATCAGTTTGAGACAAAGAGGTAAATTCCCATTTGGATCCCTATTGCCAGGAGAACATTGAAAACATCCATGGCTTGATGGCTTGGGCAATGGAAAGGAAAGGCTACTAATGGGGAAAGGATTCAGAAAATCCCTGGCTAGGCGATGGAAATCACAGCTTGCTACTGTGGAAAGCATTCAGAAAATCCCTCGGTTAGGCTATGGAAGTCAGAGCCCGCTATGGGGAAAACTGTTCAGAAGATCCCTCGGTTGGGCTATGGAAATCACAGCCTTGTATGGGGGAAAGCATTCAGAAGATCCCTCGGCAAGGGTATGCAAATCGCAGCCTGCTGTTGGAGAAGGCATTCCATGTGAAAGATCACAGAGTAGGGGTATGGGACTCACAGCCCTAAACCCTAAAGCCTGAATCGTGAACCCTAAAGCCTAAAGCTTAAACCCTAAACCCTAAGCGGTAAACCCCAAACCCGAAAGCCTAAACCTTAAACGAAACTTCCATGACATACAGGCCACCTTCGGTTTTCCGCGAAGAACGGTTCTCCGCATTATCTCCCGATCCGTGAGAAAGGACTGGACTGACTGCGCGGACGCTCCATAGGCACCGTACCCTTTCTTCAGGAAATCGTCGAAATCCTTGCCTGTCAAAAGTTGTTTGACGGCATCCTTTTCTGTGGGAATTGGTGGCTTCTCATGGTAGGGCTGTGTGGCAGGAAATGCGGCCATGGGCTCAGTGGGCAGGCTGCAATGTTTGCCAACCATAGCATGAAAGTCCCGGGGAGGAACTTTCACTGAACATGGTTTCACGCCCTCCTCTTCTTGCTTGCCCCAGACGCTCCGTATCTGCAAGAGCAGTTGTAGTAGCGCCCATGCGCGACAAACATGCTGCTCCGAAATCAGCACCTCCAGAACATGTTACTGTTCACTACTGCAGTCTCTAGTCAGGGGACATCTTCGGAAACACCTCGGAAGCGAAAGACGAGGACAAGTTCAGAAACACTTGGCTACCGGGAGACTGCGTCAGCAGCGGCTACAGGCGCTCCGCAGCTTCCCACGAAGACATCGAAGACGTACATTAAAGCGCTCAAAATACCCAGATGCCACGGGGCAATGCTCATTCGCGTGGCCAGGGCGTCGCTGCCGACCTCATGGCAGTAACATATGTTTCCACATGGATCTCCAGCGCAGATAAGAGTCGGGAGGTTCAGGGTACTTGTAAATAGAGTAAAACTGTAGACTGTAGTTATACTCAGCTCATTAAAGTTTTCTTTAATTACAGTTGCTATGGCTATATGTAGGTTATAGGTATTTTATATTCTAGTCATACGTACCCCGAATCTCCAGGTAAACATATTATAAACATTTGATTGCCCATGGATTTGTGCCGAAGCTGCCCGGCCTGCGCAGCAGCGTTTGCACGCACAGAGAGCAACGTCTGGTAGGCGAGGAAAGCTCCACGGCCACTTTGGTCGAACGCCAAGACCTGCAGGTGGACAGCGCTTCGGTCTTTGAGGCTGCAGGGGCTTGTCGGTGTAAGTTAAGTGCTAGGAGTGCTGGGCCTCGTGTGGCGCAGTGAACCTTTCCACTACTCGGACTGCCCCAGCTCGGACGGAAAGCTCTGCATGATCCTCTATGTCTCGATTAGGCACCCGGAACTGCGCCCACGGCACGCCGTCCTCCACTGAGTAGCATACCAGGGTTTAGGGTTTCGGGTTTCGGGTGCAGGCTTTAGGTTTCGGGTTTAGGATGTAGAGTTTGGGGTTGAGGGTTTAGGGTTTAGGGGCCAGAGAAGAAAGAGCCTGCCAGAATCCTCTAAGAAGGGGTATATGGGATTTTGCTAACAGTACCCAACCCTGAGGGTCCAGAGTGCCCGAATACGAGGTATTTCAGGTGTCTATAGAAGGAATAATTGTAAGTATGGTTATAGGGGAAAAAAATATTCCACATTTGGTTACTTGGACCCTTAGGGCTAGGACGACTCAATTACGGCACGCCGTCCTCCACTGTGTAGCGGAAACGGCTGGCCACCCCGTCCGGCAAGTTGAAAGCGTACTCTGGTCCGTGCTCCGGGCTGTCCGCAACCTTGTTCAGACCTGACGGCGCAGTGAGACACGGAATGGTGCTGACACGAACACTGCCTGTACTGTGGTACAGAAGGATATGGGGTTGGTAAGCTGTAAATTTGCAGCATGCAGGGTCGGGAAAGACCAGAGTGGCTTTACGCGTCTATTGTGAAAAAAACCCAAATCCAGCCTGAAACCGCAGCTCTCTCTGGGTCATTCAGAAGGTCGCCTAATCCGGCAAGATCGGCGAGCTCGCGGGGGAGATCTGTCCAGATGTAGCGAGGCCCTCGGACGGTTACCGACTCGTTCACATCTTCGTGCGGTACAACCCTTCTTGCTGTGTAGAAGAGCAACCGATCGTGAGCGGCTGCGACCTGGCATCCGGTGCTACCGTCTACCATGGAAAACGCCATGGATGGGTGGGCATTACCGACCAGTCCGAAGGAGACTCTGGGTGCACTAGCGCCCCCATACGCGCCAGCACTTCTGGTGGCTTTGGCCGCACCGCCGGATTGGAGGAAACGATTGAGGACGGAGGTGTGCGTGTTGACGCCAGTCTTGCCCTTCTGGTCAGTGTCGATGAGCCCGAACGCCAGGAAGGATGGGTAGCACTCGTCGATGTTGGCCAGCCGCCCAAAGACACCACAACCACTCCCCGAGCCGCGCCCGCCGCGACCTTTCGCTCGCTTGCACTTGCCGTAGTCGCCGGAGACCGCCTCGAAGAAAGCCTCGTCAGGCTGCACCACCACCGTAACCGCAACCAAGAACCCTGTCGAGTTGTCAGCGCTGCAAACTAAGGCACACTTAGCGCGTTATTGAATTTTGGGATTGCTTTTTCTGTAAAAGATGTTACCGGCAGGCGTCTGCGGGTGTGTAGATGCTAGAGAGTAACTGTCATATCTTAGAACTGGGAGCGGAACTGCTACAAAACATCCTATAGTCAGGGGTCTTTGGGGGTTGTTTCATTCTGGCAGGATTTTTGGTAGCAAAGCCTAGTCAGCGGCCGTGGAAGCTAGCTTCAGAGATGCAAATCTGAGCGTGCTATTGGGGAAAGCATTGCAAAGATCCCGGTCTTAGGCTATGGAAATCACAGCGGGCTATTGTGGAGAGCATTCAAAAGATCCCCGTCTTAGGCTATGGACATGACAGCGTGCTACTGTGGAGAGCATCAAAAAAAATCCCAGGGTAGGGCTATGGAAATCACAGCCTGCTATTGGGGAAAGCATTGCAAAGATCCCAGTCTTAGGCTATGGAAATCGCAGCGGGCTATTACGAAGAGCATTCAAAAGATCCCCGTCTTAGGCTATGGAAATCAAGCGGCCTCCGGCGTAAAACCTTCCAGCACGCAGGAGGGCGGTTTCTCCTCGTCAAGAGGCCCCTCCGACCCTGCTTCCATCTCTGCCGATTGTTTCTTCGTCATTTGCTCCGAAAACTCGTCGAGCACCCGACCCATCTCTCGGACAATTGCTGCTGTCTGGGATTTTCTGGACTGAGGTGGATTCACGAGGATGCTGGCAATGCACAGCGGGGTTGGCTCGGACCACAAGCGCACGGCCGCGCCGTTCGTGAGAGCTGCCAGGGCCGTCATCACGGGCATGGCCACTGCTAATGGGTGAAGGCAGCACTTCGCCCCGGTCTCTTCCAGGAACATAGCGCCTTGATCACCGAAGACGTCCTTGACGGTGAAGCCCTCTCTAACGAGTCTCCAAGCATCTTCCAACCGTTCGGTCCGCCCCATGGCGCCGCAGCGGCGCTTTGCTAGGTCGTTTGTTAAGGCTTCCTGCACAGGTTGCGTGCTAACATGTGGCCACTGCAAGGAGGTTCAGTTGGGTCTGGCTGTCCCTCTGCTGCTACTGGTTCCAGTGCTACCGCGGCTAATTTACTGTGGATCCTTAGGTCTTTCGACTGCTTGGCCAAGTTGAATATAAGGAGCCTGTGGATTTTGTCTTCTAGACCTACGAAACGTTTTCCACACTGGGCGCGTTTGAGGTCGAGTACAAGTGCAAGACGTCGGACGGCTTGGTCGAACAGTAGGACACCAAACGGCACTAGTCCGTGCTTCACATATAGGCTGTGGCCCTAGGTTTGTGATTCCTGTTTGGCGGCACGCCTCCCTGAAGGAAGAGATGTCATGCCAAGGCAGCTTTTTTTGCGCACGGCGTACGACCAGCTTCCAAGTCACACCTCTTGCATGGTCTGTTGTGCTAGGAATGTGGCATCGTCCGAAAGTTCAGGCATTCCGCGAGTGTCTCCATGGACCGTCATAGGCAGTGAACCAATGCCGCGAAAGTGACATGTCACTGCACCCCCGGCGCAGGCCGCTTCCGGGCCGCCTGTGCGCTGTTATGCATGTCGACGAGCTCCGTGACGAAGAAGTGGCCAACAAGCCGGGTCATGTGTCGGAAGGAGTGCTTGTACTGCGAGAACCACTGAAACAAAATTTCGCAACCGCTTGTGTTCACATTCTGGAGAATCTCCTCATGCTCCGGAAGCGTTGGAGAGCAGTTGTCACGGCACCACTTGTCTGTATGTCCTTTGTAGTGGAAGCGATCGACGATGAATCGAAGGGCCGGAAAACAAAGGTGGGGGTAGTCGGACATCCATCGCTGCATGAAGCGCCTGAGGTGGCAAGCGTCGTCATGCACTATTGTCTGTACGGTTGGATGCTGCGCCAGAATCTGGGATATAAAAACTGCTCTTTGGGTGAGTGACTCACCTCCCAGGAACTCCATCAGGGAAGTCACCATGCCATCGCTGGTGCACGCAAGCAGCCAGCCCCCGGATCGTCGGTTGAGTCGCCGCGGCATTTTGGATGTTCTGCACGTGACGAAGTCACCGCAGGCATCCGTATCGATATCTGCGATTCCCCCACGCTGTCTGTAGGCCGCCTGAGATGTGGCTCGCATTGCAACTGCAAGCTGCAACGGCGGCGGTGTCGCGATCGCAGCTCCGGCACAGTGTGCCTGCAGGAGCGTAGCAGGTTCCGCAGCGAAACAGAGTCGCTTGCTCACTCGCACCTGCTCTGCGGCCAGCCGCTTGCCGCGTGCTCTTGCCAGAGGCGGCGGCGGCAAATGCTTCTTGCAGAAGATGCCCTTGAAGACAGGGCTCTCGCCACAATCCTGGTAAAAGTGCAGATTGGTGCCCTCCACTTGCTGGATGGAGGACATCAACTGGCAGCAAGTGGGACGCGTCATCTTCTGGTTCCCGTCTATGACGATCAGTGTCGGCTGTCCTGCTGCCTGGCTTCGCGCCCTGGCCATGCAACGGTCGTACTGGTCTTTGCCTTGGTTCCAGCATTTGTGCAAGCTTCGGGAACCGCCGCCCTAAACCCGCAACAGGCTCGAAAGGCAACCAGAAGGTAGACAAGGGAAAAGATTTTATCAGCGTCAGTATTTTCATGAGGGTTACTATTACTATTATTATTTCTGGTACAAATATTCCAAGATACACTTGGCAAATTGGATGGCGAAGGGCTCGCTGAGCAGGAACGGGTCCGCAGAAATTTTCGGCCAACGCTTTCTGAGCTGAAGCTTCAGCCATGCCTCTTCCAGCATGCGAGGCGCCGCCCGTGGAAACACTGAGTCCAGACCCAAGACTTGTGCTTCAGACGTCCAGGATGCGTGCTGCTTGAGCATCCGCAAGGAGAACTGTTCATGCCAGCTGTTGGTGACGCCGAAATTCGGCGACAACATGCACACATCTCGGTGACTGCCCGGCCAGACGCCAGACGGACCATCCAGCCACTCGCGAACCTTGTCACGTGACACGAAGTTAGCCCATATGAGCAGTCCATACAGCGGGCACGTTCGGGCAGAACAGCGAAAGCAACCATGGATGACAGTGACCACACCGCTGGAAGTCACCACGCTAGCATCTCTTTCACATCTCTTGCCAAGTTTTCCGCCACAGCGCGGGCATGCGTGAGCAAAGTGTACAGGCCGAGGCGCCGGGTGTGCGATGGCCCTGGCGCAAGAGTCCAGCACGTCAGAGGCCACCAAGCATGCCGGATCACAGGCCTGAAGTGCCTCGGCGGCCTGCTCGTAAGTCCATTCCAGCATGGCGGACCATGGTTACGCTGGAGGTTGTGCACTACATCTCGTGCATGTTTACAGTAGGGTGCATAATTCTGGCACACCATTTGGAAGACGCAGAAAACATGTCATCTAGACTGTGTCCTGCAAGTAAGCAGCAACTCCCTGCAGTCTCTGCCTTCTCTGCAAAGGTGGAAGGTCGAGGTTCTGTGTAGCCGAAATGAGCCAAATCGTCGAAAACTGCTGCTACGACGAATGATGACATCATGCCAGACTCTGATGCAGACGAGGACTTCAGACAATATGGACAGATCTGTCATTAGCAAGCGGACACTAGTGACAATGGAGAGACTTGTCTTACATTTCAAGAACAAGCAAGCGGACACTAGTGGCAATGGAGAGACTTGTCTTGCATGCGCTCTCACATGTCTATACACTTAGATGTACATGTGGGCACTCAACTCTTTTTGGTTTAAGCTCTTTGTGGCTTGAGTTTGGTTGCTGTGGCTTCTTCCCTACAACAACAACAACCACGACGACGACGACAACGACGACGACGACGACTACAACAACAACAACTACTACTACCACTGCTACTACTATTACTACTACTACTACTGCTGCTGCTGCTGCTACTACTACTGCTGCTGCTAGTACTAGTACTAGTACTAGTATTAGTACTAGTACCAGTACTAGTACTAGTACTAGGCTGCTTACTTCTGCTGCTCGTGCTCTTACTCCTCCAGCTCCACCTCCTCCGCCTGCTGTTGCTGGTGCTGCTTCGACTAGTAGCACGCTCAGGATGGTAACGCCATGCGCAGGAGAACAGTTGCAACCACAACCTGGTAATTACGAGCGGCAATAGTCTTACAGCTCGTGCATTGCTGTCGTTCTTGCCACTGAGCGGTGGCATCTCATAGACAGTGCAGAGCCTGTATTGTTCTTCCGGCTATCCAACTCTACGCGTCCAAGATTTCGGTGTCAGGATTCCGGATTCAGGATTTTCCAGGTGTAGGATGTCGGATCTGCGGACTGCGATGTCGGATTTAGCTCAGGATTGTGACGTCGAGTTTAGCCTAGGGTCGTGATGCCGGAATTAGATTTTGGTTGGTCGGATCCAGGATTTGGAAGTTCGGCTTGTTCAAGCCTAAACTCTGAGTCCAGAAAGTTTACAGCAGCAGTCTAGAAACTCCGAAGGAGTCCGAAAAAACGCTGGCCAGGAAACCTGAATACACTTCCTTGCTTCTCGTACCTGGAAGCTCGCCTCTTCCCATAAAAGCACGAAAAAAAGGGCTAACATCTTCCAGGGCAACCGTGCCCTGCGCGCGCAGGATTGCTCTCTTATTATGCGCATGCAGCTTGGGGGGGGTTCTTGTGGTGTGTGGGACCTTGTGGCTACGAAGATAGTAAAGATATCGGGTTTATGGATTCTAAGGCTACTGCTGTGCTATCTCACTCGGCCAGATTGCAGCAGCTGCCTGCTTCTTGTGTCCGAGACCGAGCAACACATTCGGGGCCAGCAGCTTGCGATGGCTATTCCATGACAATGAACATGGTAGTAGTGACTAGTGATTGTCTCGTCTGCTGAAGATACTGCCTGTCTACATACTATTGGGCATTGCAATATCCATTGTCGTTGTCACGGTCCGCCTTGTCATCTTTGTGCCTTCCTCTTCCGTCGGCAAGCCCCGCGCAATTCACACCCGACCAGAAGCCCCTGAAACCTGTGCCCTCAAAGCCCTGGCAATCAATCACCAAGACCCGAACCCGTTACCCCTAAGCCAAAGCTCCCCCTCCGAAATCACAAACCGGTTGCACCCGACGCCCCAAACCCACAAACCCAAACTCCTGAACTCCCGAGCCCTCAACCCTAAACTCCTCAAGCCCCCAAGCCTTAAACCCCAACGCCCGAAGCCCCAGACTGGAATCTGACATTTAAACTCTTCTCCTTAACCTATCCTAAACCCTTGTCTAAACCCTTACAGTATAGAATCCATGGAACCCTTACAGAGTCTGTGGAAACTTTTCGAATCCATGGAAACCTTTGGTAGAATTTATGGAACGCTCGTAGAGTCTGTGGAACCCTTTGGGCGGATTCGGGAAATTTTCGTTCAGGGTTCAGGGTTTAGGGGTTTAGGGTTTAGGGTTTAGGGTTAGCGGTTTAGGGGTTTAGGGTTTAGGGTTTAGGGTCTTAGGTAATGGCATTCCTAAGTGTAGAACCCCAACCGGTACCCCGAGAATTCAGCGGCCCACGTTTTGGGGGTTTTAGGGTTTAGCTAGGGTTTAGGGCCCTTTTAGCCTTACTCTATACCCTAGACCCTTACACCCCTAAACCCTAACCACTAACCCCTCCACCCCTACACCCCTAAACCCCTAAACCCCTAAACCCCTAAACCCTAAACCCCAAACCCCTGAAAACCCCTAAACCCTACTGCAAACCCTACACCCTAAACCCTAAACCCTAAATCCCGAAACCCTGGAGTCTGAACCATAGCCGTGGCCCAAGCCACGAAGCCTTGTGCTCAGCCCAAAACCCTCAGCCGGAAAGAAGAAAGCTTAGAATCCCCTTGCAACCAATATGGTGCCTTGTAGAAACCTTTACATCAATTCCTCAAAACCCTTGTATACGCACTTCAAGAACCTTTGTAGAAATCCTCAACCCTAAACCCTGGCAGAAACTTTTTAGAAACCCCCGAAGAACCCCTGCAGAAACCTAAATATAAACCCTGAAACCCTGCCCTAAACCCTAAACCCTAAGCCCTAAACCCTAAAGCCCTCAACCCTAAACCCTAAACCCCCTAAGCCCTAAGCCCTAAACCCTAACCCTTAAGACCTTAACCGGAGAGCCCAAGCGGAGGTCTTGGGCTCCTTCTTCGCTTCGCCGGTCGCGTTGCCACCGGCTCGGAGGCGCGGGGGTGACCCAGGTTCGAAGCCTTGGAGTTTAGGGTTTTCAGGGTTTAGGGTTTAGGGGTTGAGGGCTTAGGGGTGGAGTTGTTTTAGGATTTCGGCTTTAGGGTTTAGGGTTTCGGGTTTAGGTGCTACGGGTTTACGGCTTAGGGTTTAGGGGTTTAGGGTTTAGGGATTTAAGGGTTTAGGGGTTTAGGGTTTAGGGTTCTATCGGATACAAGTAACTAGGTTTTGGATTTAGGGAAAGGGGCAAACAAGTTATTTTGCGTTGAAGGCTTTGTTGGTGGCATCACAGGATTCCATTTTTTGAGGGTTTGGGGTCTCTTGGTGGGTGCGGGGTTTTGGGTTTGGGTTTGGCGGGTTGTGTTTTAGGGATGAGTTTTGAGTTTCGCGTCAGGGCTGGTAGCTTTGGGGTGTTGTGACTTGTCGAGTTTCTACACACCTTGGAAGATGCAGAACATAGAGGTGCGCCAAAGCCCCAAAGTTTAAAAACCATGGACCATGGAAGAAGCCGAAACCAAGCCCCAAACGCCAAAGGCGCTCCATAGTAGGACCCCTGTGGGCAGAGCCGCTGGGGGCGAATGCTGAGTACTGAACGCCATGGCCATGGCTTTCACGAGATTGAGGCTTTCGAGTGTGGTTTAGGCGTCAGAGATCTTTTTGCTGATTTGGTGTTTGCTGGAGGTTGGAAGAACAGCGGGAACCCACAACTATATCTCCTCCACTCCTGTGACACGAAGTAGTTGGTATGCCAATGTCGTGTAAGTACGCACGCAGCCTCATACTGAAGGCTGCAAAGCGCTCCAAGGGCTAGATCAGGGCAAACTGTTACCCCTGCTAGCCTGCCGCTGCTGGCCCGCACCTATCAGGAAGACGCGGTGTTGATGCAGTATTTTACCCGAAAGCTTGCTTTCACACTAGACAAGACACTGTACGTAGCGGGACTGGTGCAGAACATTTACAAGAGATCAGAGCACCGCCAGGCACTTCGTTCTAGACCTCTTCTGAGGCACGGCGGGTTGAACAGAGTTCTCGGGTTCCGTTCAAACAGGTAAAACTCAACCGTGAGTTGAGAAACCCTAGACCGCTAAATGGTAGCGGAACAACCCTAATCCTCTAAAGCTTATAAACCTTCAACCCTGAACCTCTAAACCCTAAACGTCTGAAGCCTACACCCCCGAATGTTGGGACGGGCAGGGTTTCTTTCGAACTCCGACATGGCCGCAAAC